CAACAGCGCACACACACACACACACACACACACACACACACTCACACACACACTCACACACACGAGCGTCTCCTCCCCGTGGAGCTGCAGCAGTGATTTAGTGAGGCCTGTTGACTGTGGACACTCTCCAAATCACACACACCCATCCAGACACAGCTAATATTCACAATATTTGTTATTCACAATCACGGCAGTAAAACAACCACAAGAATCTGAGACGATCGGGACACTAAACCATTATTTTCAACACCCTAAACAGATGACCATCTTTCAACATTAAGATGCCAAACCATATTCGGTAAAAAAATCTTGCGAGGTTTACATTTGCTGCAATCGGCCGGGTCGTTATTTGTCCATTTTGAGATAATTTGCTGATAGCTGCATCTTACTGACCAACATCAGTGCATCATTCTGCTCCAAAAAACAGTCATGCACAATGTTTGATTTAAAATAATTTTATGAAAAAAAAAATATAAAAATGTTTATGAAATTAATGCGAATCTGTTCAATTCAGATCTTATTCACTGTCATTAAGGCAAGTTTATTTATATAGCACATTTTATACAAAATGGTAAGTACTATACATAATTTTTTTAAATAGTCATAAAAAAGACATTTTAAAAATGCATGCATAGTTATTACAAAAGATTTCATAAAATAGAAAACATTCTAAAAATGCATGCAACGTAAGTATAAAAAATAGTCATAAAAAATAAAACATTTAAAAAATGCATGCTTAATAATTTCAAAAAAAGTCATTAAATAGAAAACATTCTAAAAATGCATGCAACGTAAGTATAAAAAATAGTCATAAAAAATAAAACATTTAAAAAATGCATGCTTAATAATTTCAAAAAAAGTCATTAAATAGAAAACATTCTAAAAATGCATGCAACGTAAGTATAAAAAATTGTCATAAAAAAGAAAACATTTTAAAATGCATGCTTAGTAAGTATAAAAATAGTCTTTAAGAAGAAAACGTTTTAAAAATGCATGCATCATAAGTATAAAAAATAGTCATAAAAAAGAAAACATTTTAAAAATGCATGCTTAATAATTACAAAAAGTCATTAAATAGAAAACATTCTAAAAATGCATGAAACATAAGTATAAAAATAGTCATTAAAAAAACACATTTGAAAATGCATGCTTAGTAAGTATAAAAATAGTCTTTAAGAAAACATTTTAAAAATGCATGCATCATAAGTATAAAAATAGTCATAACGAGCATTTTAAAACTGCATGCATCAAAACTATAATAAAGTGTGCTTTTAATGCATTTTTTAAATGCAAAATATGAATATTACATAAGCAATAAAAAATAACTGAAAACTGAAGAGACTGATCAAGTAATTAAATGAAATAAATTAATAAACTACATTTTAAGGCATGTATATCAGGCATCTGTCACTCTGACCTATGGATCCCGCATTACATCAGCTATTAACCTCTGTATCAGTGCAATGATACTTACAGTGGATACCTCACAGAATGAAGGTTACCATCTACACACGACCATTAAACACGTCAGAAATAAAAGCTGGCTTGGATCGATCAAAACACTCCTGAGAATGATGTCATGACAGGAAACAGGAAGTAGATCAAGAGTTGAAATCAAATTAAGTGATCAAACATAAGCATCATGTGACTTTCATCTCCTCTCTGACTCCACCTGTGTGAAGAGGAGTGGCAGACGCACTGAATTACCTGATTTGGATCCACAGGTGGGAGCGATCTGGCCGCTCGGACAGGTGCACATGTTGGGTCTGGAGCAGAAGCCGTCTCCGCAGGGGCTGCGACAAATAGCTGAGAACAGCAAAATCAATGACTGACGACATCTATTGATTGCTTGACCTTCACAGACATCAATAAACATGCAGGTACAGGTGATATTCTGAACGTTCTACACATCTCTTGCCTTGTTGTTTCTTACAGCTAAAACCAGTTTACATACACCTTGCAGAATCTGCTAAATGTTAGCCAAAATAAGGGGAATCATACCAAATGCACGTTATTGTTTATTTAGTGCTGACCTGAATAAGATATTTAACGTAAAAGATGTTCACACGAGAAAATAATAGTTGAGTTTATAAAAATGACCCCGTTCAAAAGTTTACATCCCCTTGATTATTAATACTGTGTTGTTACCTGAATGATCCACAGCTGTGTTTTTGTGTTTAGTGATAGTTGTTCATGAGTCCCTTGTTTGTCCTGAACAGTTGAACTGCCTGCTGTTCTTCAGAAAAACCTCTCAGCTCCCACAAATTCTGTGGTTTTGCAGCATTTGAACCCTTTCCAACAACGACTGTATGATTTTAAGATCCATCTTTTCACACTGAGGACAACCGAGGGACTCGTATGCAACTATTACAATAGGTTCAAACGCTCGCTGATGCTCCAGAAGGAAAAACCATGCATTAAGAGCCTTACTTTTTGAATCTGAAGATCAGGGTAAATTGAACTTATTTCGTCTTCCGTGAAACATCTTCTGTACCTTCTGAAGGGCAGTACTAAATTTAAAAATATGACTTTTAGGTACACATCTTGCTTCTGTTAATGCATCGTTTCTCCTTCAGGAGCATCAGTGAGCGTTTGAACTGTATATGCACACTAACGTGTTTAAATCCATCCCAGAAAATCAAAGTCTGCAGATTCAGGTCTGGTCCTGCTCCAGGTCTTGCAGCTCATCGAGGCATATGCCAGCTGTCTTATTCAGGAAATATCGGCTTAATCGGATTAATGCCATCATTACCCGATGCACATGTAACTGGAATGCGTCCAAACTCTGATTATTACCGGAATGTTCTTGTTAAGTGTGGTCAGCGAGAGGTCAGGAGGTCAGAGAGACTCTGGGCCATTGTGGCCGAGATCCATTAGCGCGCCTGACCTTCACATGTAAACAACACCCCCCCCACCGCGCCGCGCCTGAGAGTCACACAACACAGCACAGCCTTCCTGAGCGCTGCCAATCTATTCATTTACAGGACGAGAGCGAAAAACAATCGTCCAGCGCCGAGCTCGCAGAACCCCACCCTCCTCTGTAAACCGTGTTTCCTGTAAACGGTGTTTCTGATAGCTGGAGCAGAACACAACAAACAGGAAGCTGATGAGGACTTACGGACGATGCACTGGTTCCCTCCGGTCAAGGTCTTCCATCCGGGACAGCAGTACGCATGATGACGGGATCCACACACATTCGGCCTGCGGGAAGAGTTCGGCAATACTTAACCAGGGTCAAATTCACATTTAAACTTTATGTGTGAAACTCTCCATACATAGAATAAAATTAACGTGGGGTGGGAAGAACATGGGAATAGAAAGGAACATGCACTGTAAACAGAAATGTAGTTGTAAATAAAACAGATTACTCGAGTATGTTGTATAGGAAAATACCATTTCAGTCTTTCTACAGGTACTCCAAAATGTCACATCTAATTCAACGTGTCATTATCTATCTATTTATTTATCTATCTTACAGATTGATTGCATGGCTTTAAAACATTGAAACCTCACGCTTTAAAAATTTCACTCTTAAATTCTTCATTCTTACAGCTTATTAAACTGTTTTAAATATTTAAGCCAGCTTTCTCAAGCCAACATCAAAGTCAAACTTTACTATCTAGTTATTTCTGAAATTTACTACAAATATTTTGAGTGAAAGTCGTTTCATCATAAAAAAAAATTTTCAGTGTAGGAATAAAATGAAAGAGCATAAATATGAGAGAAAAAGAAAACATGTAATTCCATGTTCTATTGATTTCTTAAAGTTTATTGTTTAAGCTTTTTTCTCCATTTTCATTTCTATTTCTTTATTTTGGTGTTGGTTTGGTTTGTATGGAAGCCTGTTTCTAACACGTAACAAAAAATATATAAAAGGTAATTGCAACTTTTTGTCTCACAATTCTGAATTTATATTTCAAAATTCATACATTTTTCTCGCAATTCTGAATTGTGAGATATAAACTCAGCATTGCGAGAAGAAAGTCCAAATTGTGAGATAAAAACTGGTAATTGTGAGGAAAAAAGTCAGAAGTAAGATAAAAAGGCCTACCTTTTTAATTTTTTATTCTGTCACAAACCAAAAAAATAATTGAGATTGAAAATTGTGCAAAAACAGTCAGAATTCTGAGTTTATCTCATAATTCTCATAATTGTGAGATAAAAAGTCACAATTACCACAGGTTCGGTGTCTTTAGTGCACAGCCTAGGTTTTTTCCCCCTATAATTTTAATGTTTGATTATTGTGTTTTATTAGGATCATCTAATGAACACAAAGACTTGAAGATGTTGCAAAACAAACACTCCACAGACCAAAGAAAACAGCACTTCCAGGAAAGCTAAACTGTCATTAATGTTATGACGCTAACGCTAGTTAACGGATTCTGGAGCGCGGGAAACCGGGTTCCCTCAGCCGCCCTAACGGCTGTTAATGACCGTTTTAGCGCGGTGTTTAGAGTAAATGTTGCGGTTCTTCAGTGATGGAGAGAGTCGTTACCCCTTCAGCACGTCCTGGCCGCCGCCGCGACGCTTCGATCGGTTCGTTCTCGGCTGCTCCGCGGCTCTGTCTGCGCCTGCGTCTGCGTCGAGCGTCTGCGCTGATACACACAGCGACGCGAGCGTTGAGATTCCCGCCGCGAGCACAAGCAGCCGCCTCATTCTGCTCGCGCTCCTGCTGCGAGACCAACAGCTCACATTAATAACAAAACTGACGAAACCACAAACCTAGTGAACAAGAAACTAGCTTTGTGTGTGTCAGTCATACGCGTTTATGGAAAGTAAACAAGAGCAGAGGATGAAATAAAACTGAGGTAAAACAAAACTGAGGGAAAGAAAGTTTCTGTACCTCCCGCAGATGATGAAGAAGATGAAGATGACGTCTCCTCCAGTAAGTGTGCGCTGGTAAAGACTGTAAAGTGCCTGGTGAAAGTTGTCAGGGTGAGAAAAAGAGCGTAAAGCGGCTCAGAGGTGCGACACAAAACGCAGCGGCTGCGTTACTGCATCAGCGCTCATTCCGCTGCGCCACTCAAATCTCATCCAAACACTCGCTCCCCTCGGATCTCGCGAGAACCTGCGCGAATTCAGCGCGGCGTTACACTGGAATCACTGCGAGATTATTATGTGACCCCGGAGCACAAAACCAGTCACAAGGGTCAATTTTTCGAAATTGAGATTTATACATCGGCTGAAAGCTCCGTATGAGGAGATAATCACCATTTTCAAGGAGAACACCTCATGTAACACGATACAAAGACATCATCATATTATAACTTTCAGTAGCATTCATTAACAAAGTGTTGTAAATATAATAATGTATACAGTATAATACACTTTACTATAGTATGGTATAGTATTTTTTAATACTGTGTGTTGGGAAGGTTACTTTGGAAATGTAATAAGTTACAGATTATTTAAAATGTAATGTAACATTATTAAAGTAATGTAACTGATTACATTTGATTACTTTTCTAAAGAATGTTTTTTGAACTGTTAATCATTTTGAAACATGTAAAGCAGGCAGGATTAATCTCACAGTAGAACTCAACACTGATTACTGTCAGAGAATCCTTCATCACTTGAATTAAGATTATAATAATTTAATTTTAAAGCACAGCCACCACAAAATCAGACTTACTTTGAGATCCTTCTGAGGTTAAATACTGATTTAAAACCATAACAAGAAATAGTTTAGTAACTATGATACTGATTTTTAAATTAAATCTCTGTATAGCTATGACAGAAAACACTGGCATCTAATAATGCCTCGGAAAAACAGTTAATCTTAAAAAATAAAGCATATACACAAACCTTATTGTGTTATGAATAAGCATGTCTCCTGAAACATTAGTGTCTCATATTTTAGAGCAATCAATGCAATTTGGGAAATCAAACAAATCTGTATGCACGTGAAAATATTCAGAAGTAACCTTCTTTGTAATCCTTAACATTTTCGTAAGTAACTAATTTAATTACACATCCTGTAACAGATTGCAGTTACATTTATTACGTATTTAAATGACGTAACATGTAACTAGTTCCTCCACAACACTGGGTACATGGTATCAAATAATACCACGCTACGTCACTGCATTGATGCAGCAGTGCTTCAGTAAGGGAAAGAAGTAGGTCTCCCCTTACTGAACACAGAATGAGCTGTTGCATGCTGATGGGTGTTTGCGTCCGCGGTCAGAGGAGGGGAGTGTCCGTCTGCATCCCAGCCCACCGGCATCCAGCCTGAGACTGATGCAGAACAATGGCACACGGTGGGTGGAGAAACCCGAGCCGCACCCTCCTCTCTCTGGACCAGACTGAAGCTCTGGTGCCTTCTGTGAATCACAAGCATAATCATCTGTAAGGAATGCAGACTGAAGTCAACATGAAACTAAGGCCATTTACTTTCTTAAGACATGCTCTTGATCTCATCAGTGTGTTCTAAACAAATGTTTTTCTTCATAATCCTTCGTCTAAATGCAATCACTCCAGCTGATGCTTGGTCACACTACACTTTTCATCCCACTGGCCTCCATTCTTACGCATTGCAAATGTAATACATTTCATGCACTGCAAAGTTCAAGTTTGGTGAACTCTGACCTGCGAACTCGTATCATGTGAAGATTCTTGTGTGACTAATAGAAGAAAAATACATCACAACCTCTTAGCTGAATTTAAAAATAAAAACGAGCTTAAGAGCTTTGCATCGTTACAGTAGACTGTGTATTTTTACATTTTGCATTCACATCTGTGTCCCTGCAGCACAAAAGCAGTCTTAAGTCGCTGGGGTATATTTGTAGCAATAGCCAACAATACATTGTATGCACCAAATCTCTCGTTTCACTCGTAAATATGTCACATAAACTGGGTTTAAATGGCTTGCGAGCAGTGTTGGGTTTATGTTGTAACATCATTGTTCAGCAGTGTGTCTCTGGGTCCCGTCGGCTGCATGGTTCGAGGCCGACTGACAAAGCTCTGCTCATTCTTCTGTGTGTTTACTTTCTCTAAGGCTCGGCGCTATGGCTTAAACAGATGCTCCAATATACTGACCTACTTTTGAGGAATTCAGTCCTCTCTCTCACTGCACGTGACCCAATAACAGCATCCCATTCCTGTTCCTGTTCCTGTTCCTGTTCCTGTTCCCGGCCTCGTGCGGATCGCAGACGGATGCAGGGACGGGCGGGGGAGCGTGTGCCTGTGCGAAAGCGTCTTACTCTAACTTTCTCACACTGTTTATTTGCTTTGGCTCAGGAGCGACTGTGTCTCCTTTCATTTCCCGTGGTCTTGGACTCCAGGAATCGAGCGCTCCGACTCCCAGACGATCAGCGATACGGGAGGAGTATCTGAAATCTCACAGAATCAATCATTATTAATCACGTGTGGATTGCTTTGATATCACAGAGCGTTCAGGTTCATGTAGAGCCGGCAGACCTGAGATTTTCAACTGGGTTTTTGCCTCTGAAACTGCAGAAGTGGCTCTGGTGATGTTGTCAGGTGTCGAGGCATTGATGGTTCCATGAGGAACCATTCATGGAACCTTTCCATTGCACAAAAGGTTCTTCAGAATATTAGAGCTTGTTACACTAAGAAAAAGTGGTTCTTTTAAGAACAATTTACTGAAAGGTTCTCTGGAGAACCAAAAATGGTTCTTCTATAGCATCGCTACAAAAAGCCGCTTTTGGAACCTTTATTTTTTAATGTTTCCATTATCAAAATGTTGTTCTTGTCAACAAAAATGGTTCTTCTAAGGCGTCACTGTGAAAACCAGCTATTGGAACCTTTATTTTTTAAAGTGAAGAACGTTTCCATTGCACAAAAGGTTCTTCAGAGTATTAGAGTTTGTTACACTAAGAAAAACTTATTTTAAGAACTGTTCACTGAAAGGTTCTTTCTATGGCATCACTGTAAAAAGCCACTTTTGGAACCTTTATTTTTTAACATTTCCATTGCACAAAACATAATTACAATGTTGTTCTCACCAACAAAAATAGTTCTTTTAAGAACTGAGCACCGAAAGGTTCTTTGGGGAACCAAAAATGGTTCTTCTATGGCATTGCTGCAAAAGGTAGCTTTTGGAACCTTTATTTTTAAAAGTGGAGATTGTATCCATTGCACAAAAGGTTCTTCAGAATATTAGAGCGGAAAAAGTGGTTATTTTAAGAACAATTTACTGAAAGGTTCTTTGGAGAACCAAAAATGGTTCTTCTATAGCATCGCTGCAAAAAGCCGCTTTTGGAACCTTTATTTTTTAGAGTGTGGAATGTTTCCATTGCACAAAAGGTGCAAAAATGTTATTTAGATTATTAAAATGTTGTTCTCACCAATAAAAATGGTTCTTTTAAGAACTGTTCACTGAAAGGTTCTTTAGGGAACCAAAAATTGTTCTTCTAAAGCGTCACTGCGAAAACCAGCTTTTGGAACCTTTATTTTGAAAAGTGGAGAACATTACCATTGCACAAAAGGTGCAAAAGGTTCTTTAAATTAGTGAAGTGTTCTTCACACTAAGAAAATGCAGTTCTTTGAGGAACCAAAAATGGCTGTTCTGTAACATTGCTGTGAAACCCTCTCTGGACCCTATATTTAAAGAGTGCAGCGAGTCATTAATCTCGAGTCGTCAAGTTTCAGGATTTCACAGTGTACATTTGTAAACACTGGGCTTTGTGCTTCTTTTCTGCCGTTCTCATGTGAATATGCAGTTGTGTTTCACATCATCCAGCTTTGCTTCATCTCCAGCTGGATCATGGATGGATGTTCTTCTGATATAAAGCAGCGTTCAAGGCTTCCAGCTCCTGAAGCGAACTGATTCACGCTCGGCTCGCCTCTCCACAGAACACCTTCCCAAAACTCTTGGAATCATCTAGGTGCTCCTTGGCAAATAATAGACAAACGTTTATGTTCTTTCTGATTGTGGCATCACAAACGCTGACCCGAGAGGAGCCTGCAGTTCTCTGGATGCGGCTTCAGGATCTTCTGTGACGGTCTGGATGATTTTAGGCTGCGCCTCTGGAGAAACCTTGGCAGGCCAGTCGCTCCTGGGGAGTTTCACCACCGTTCCAAGAGTTCTTCGTTTCAACACAGCTCTCGCTGTGGGTCTGTTCAGATCCAGGGTTTTGGAAATGTCTGCGTAACCTTTTCCTGACTGATAGACTCAATATGAGCATGTCATTTTTATTCTCTCATAAAAACTCTCCTTTGATCGGGTGATTTGTGCTTGTTAAATCTTTGTGAGGGTCAATGGCACAGTCGCACATGACCAACTTTAATCAATCGAATTCATATTCCTTAAATTCTCTTAAACCAGCTGCTGGATTCAAATGAGCTCTTCGCTGAAGCCTGTATGTAGAGCATCTGCTGCATGAATCGTGATGTAGCCGTGTTCTGCATCATCCTTGTGAAAGACAGAAATAAAATAAAGGTCAGTTCAGAATCATTGACAGTGAGTGTGTTTATTAAAAAAAACGACAGTTTGAGGCGTTCACATGAGTGCTGTTGGGTGCTTTCAAGTCATGTTGGAAAGATTGCATTCATGATTCAATTGGAAAACGAATGGGGATTTTCTTTGAGCCTTGATTTTCCAAGTTGTTGTTGGCGGGTCACTGAGAAAACATGGCTGATGTGATGCATGGTGCATCTAGTTGGTGTATGATTTTTCATCTTTCTCGAACAAAAGTGATTTAAATGCAACTAATGCCATTGGGATTTCCCAGTTGGTAAATATAAACTTCCCAGGAAGATTTGAATGCACCTGATGTAAACACACTCATGAATGCATCATAAAGTCCCGTGTTGTGACGTCATTCATTCTCTGGCCCTCGTCACCAGTGTTTGGGAAAGTTACTTTTAAAAGTAATGCATTACAATATTGCATCACTCCCTAAAAAAGTAATAAACGTAATCCCCTAAAAACTAATTACGTTAGTTCATTTTTATGGAAAGTAATGTGTAACGTTTCTTTTTTTTTTTTGCCTAGGCTGGGCTTGTTTTTAATATAAAAACATTCTATTTTTGGCAAATATAACAGCCCTTT